TATTTCCATGTATGGTGTTGGAACTAGAAAGTGTTCCAGTTTCATTCTTTTGCATATTGCTGTCCAGTTTTTCCAACACAATTTGTTGAAAAGAGGTATTTTTCCCAATGGATATTCTTTCCTGCTTTGCCAAAGATTAGTTTACCATATAGTTGTGGGTCCATGTTTTTTATCTAATGAATATTTTCCTTTGCCAAAGTAGAAAAAATAGTCTGTTTTCTTCTCGTTTTATCATTTCACTTCTTACATTCAGGTCTTTAAATCTATTCATTAAAGTTAATTTACTTAATTTTATTTATGGAATAGCTTTAGACTTACAGAAAAGTCGAGCAGCTAGTACAGAGAGTTCCCATACTACTCCCTCCCCATCATACAGTTTACCCATCTTGCATTAGTGTGGTTCATTTATTACAGTAAATGGACTTACAGTCATTATTGTTAAGTATCATCTGTAGTTTATATTAAGGTTCACTCTTTATGTCCTGCAATTTTAAGAGTTTTGACAATTGCATGATGTCATGTATCTAACATAACAGTATTATACAGAATAGTTTACTCTATGCACCATCTCTCCATCCCTTCCTTTCACCTGCCTCCCTGAAGTCCGTGGCAACCAGTGATCTTTTATTGTCTCTGTGTTTTTTCCTTTTCCAGTGATCTTTCATTGTTTCTGTGGTTTTTCCTTTTCCATGTTCTGTAGTCTGAATTATATAGTATATAGCCTTTTTAGATTGGCTTCTTTTACTTAGCAGTATTCTTCTAAGAACCCTCCATGTCTTTTCATGGTTTGATAGCTCATTTCTTTTTAGTGGAGAATAATAATTCAGTGTCTGGATGTACCATAGTTTACTTACCATTCACCTACTGAAGGACAACATCTTAGTTGCTTCTAATTTTTGACAGTTGATGTATTGTGAAGTAAACCCGTATCTTTATAAATCAAGCTGCTATAAATATCCTTTTGCAGGTTGTGTAGACATAAATTTTCATTTCTAATACCAAGAAGCATGACTGCTGAATTGTATGGTAAGAGTGTGTTTAGTTTTATATTGCCAAACTCTTTCCTGTACTGGCTGTGGTATTTTGCACTGTCACTAGTAATGAATGAGAGTTGCTTTTTGTCCTTGGTGGCATTTGGTATTACCAGTTTTGTTTCATTTTGTTTTAACTTTTGTTTTTGCTTTTTAAAAATATATTAGCTATTTTTTTTAAGCTATTTTGATAGGTGTGTAGTGGTATTTCACTGTTGTTTTAATTTGCAGTTCTCTTATGATATATGTTCATCTTTTCATCTCCTTATTTTCTTTGGGTCACTGTTCAGGTATTTTGCTTATTTTTTTGACTAGGTTTCTTGTTTCCTTATTGTTGAGTTTTAAAAGAGTTCTTTCTGTGGGGTCTCCTGGGTGGCTTGGTCATTAAGTGTCTGCCTTCAGCTCAGGTCATGATCCTGGGGTCCTGGGATCGAGCTCTGTGTTGGGCTCCCTGCTCAGCAAGGAGTCTGCTTCTTCCTCTCCCCCTCCCCCCATTCATGCTCTCTCTCACTCTCTTGATCCTACTATCTCTTTCTCTTGAATAAAGAAATACAATCTTTATAAAAAAAGAGTTCTTTGTATATTTTGGTTACACATCCTTTATCAGATAGTGTTTTGCAAAATCATCTCTTAGTCTCTTCATTTTCCTTGTACTGTCTTGTACAGAGCATGCAACTTATTTTAGTTTAACTTAATCAGTTATTTCTTTCATGGATCGTGGTTTTGGTGTTGTATGTAAATTGTACTTAAAGGAAATATTTAAGACAATTTTGGTATAATTGGGGGAGGGTCAAGGGTCATAAAGGAGGGGTGGTTTCTGTACTTGATTTGAACTAGTAAAAGGTTGATAGTAGACTTTGGTAATGTGTGTGTGTGTATATATATATATATGCATGTAAAAAATAGAAAACTAAGAGAACAAAGGAAAAATAAAATGGCAGAGGTTAGCTTTAATATATTGACAATTACATTAGATTTCAATGGTCTAAATACACTTAAGACAAAGACAAGAGACTGTCAGAGTAGAGTAATAGCTATGACCCAATTATATGTGTTAATAAGAAACTGACTTCAAATATGATTATGTAAGCAGATTGAAAGTAGAGTTGTAGTCAGAGATACGCCATGCAAACCTCAAAGGAAAGCAGTAGTGACTTTTTTTTTCAGATTTTATTTTATCTATTTTTATTTTTATTTATTTTTATTTTTAAAAATTTTTTATAGATTTTATTTTCAAGTAAACTTTACAGCCAATATGGGGCTTAAACTTACAACCCCAGGATTAAGAGTCAGATGCTGTAGCTGACTGATCTAGTCAGGTACCCCAGTAGTGACTCTTCTAATATCAGATAAAGTAGGCTTTAGACAAAAATATATTGTATATATGACACATTAATATATTGATATGTATTAATGTATAGATATTAAAGAGGAGGGTACTTTGTAATGATAAAATTAACTTACATGGCAGTCCTAGGGCCCCTGGGTGGCTTAGTTAAGTGTCTGACTCTTGAATTCTACTCAGATCACCATCTCAGTCATGAGATTGAGCCCCACATCGGGCTTTTCCCTCAGTGCAGTGTTTGCTTAAGATTCTCTACCTCTAAATCAAAACCACAATGAGATACCACCTCACACTAGTCAGAATGGCTAAAATTAACAAGTCCGGAAATGACAGATGCTGGCGAGGATGCGGAGAAAGGGGAACCCTCCTACACTGTTGGTGGGAATGCAAGCTGGTGCAACCACTCTGGAAAACAGCATGGAGGTTCCTCAAAATGTTGAAAATAGAACTACCCTATGACCCAGCAATTGCACTGCTGGGTATTTACCCTAAAGATACAAACGTAGTGATCCGAAGGGGCACGTGCACCCGAATGTTTATAGCAGCAATGTCTACAATAGCCAAACTATGGAAAGAACCTAGATGTCCATCAACAGACGAATGGATAAAGAAGATGTGGTATATATATACAATGGAATACTATGCAGCCATCAAAAGAAATGAAATCTTGCCATATGCGACAACGTGGATGGAACTAGAGGATATCATGCTTAGCGAAATAAGTCAATCAGAGAAAGACAACTATCATATGATCTCCCTGATATGAGGGAGAGGAGATGCAACATGGGGGCTTAATGGGGTAGGAGAAGAGTAAATGAAACAAGTTGGGATTGGGAGGGAGACAAACCATAAGTGACTCTTAATCTCACAAAACAAACTGAGGGTTGTTGGGGGGAGGGGGGTTGAGGGGGGGGTGGTGTTATGGACATTGGGTAGGGTGTGTGCTATGGTGAGTGCTGTGAAGTGTATAAACCTGGAGATTCACAGACCTATACCCCTGGGGAAAAAAAAATATATGTTTATAAAAAATAAAATTAAAAAAAAAAAAAGAAAAGATTCTCTACCTCTCCCTCTGCCCCTCCTCCTCCACTCTCCCACTTGGATTCTCTCTCCAAAAAAAAAAAAAAAAAAAAAAGATACGGCAGTTCTGAAGTGCATGTACCAAACAGTAGAATTGTAAGATTTAGCAGTCTTCACAATTGGTAGAAACAATGAGACAGAATATCAGTATGTGTGTAGAAGAATTCAACAGTGGGGCACCTGGGTGGGTCACTTGGTTAAGTGTCTGCCTTTGGCTCAGGTCATGATCCCAGAGTCCCAGGATCAAGCCCCGCATCAGTCTCCCTGCTCATCCGAGAGCCTGCTTCTCCCTCTCCCTCTGCCTGCCACTCCCCTTGCTTGTATTCTCTCTGTCAAGTAAATAAAGTCTTAAAAAAAAAAAGAAAACAGTACAGTAAACCAGAACACATCATACAACAACCGAAGAATATACATTAATTATTTTTAATTACTAAGGTTTATTTTTTAGTTTTATGTTTACAGAAAAATCGAGAAAATATAGTTTCCATATATCCTCTCAAAACACCCCCCCCAAATAAAACCAGTTTCCTTTATTGTTGCTATCTTGTATTTGTATGGTACATTTATTACAATTGAGCCAGTATTGATATATTATTAACTAAGATCTATAGTTTACATTGGGGTTCACTCTGCTTTATATATTATATTTGTTTTTGATAAATTTAAAATTATATGCATTCACCATTACAGAATCCTACAAAGTAGTTACACTGCCCTAAAAGTCCCCTGTACTCCCACCTTTTCATCCATCCCACCCTTCAAACTCCTGACAACTACTAATATTTTTTACTGTGTTCATTGTTGTGCCTTTACCAGAATGTCCTACAGTTGGAATCATACATTATATAGCCTTTTCACTTTTCTTCTTTCATGTAGCAATATGTATTAAAGTTCCTCTGTGCCTCTTGAGTTGATAGCTCATTTCTTTTTGTTGCTGAATAATAAATACATACTATTTTATAGAGTTTTCTGTGCTATTCAGAAGATTTAGGGGTGCCTGGGAGGCTCAGTTGGCGAAGTGTCTGACTCTTGGTTTTGTCTCAGGTTGTGATCTTGGGTTATGAGATTGAGCCCACATTGGGCCCCATGCTCAGCGTGGAGTCTGCATGAATCCCCCCCTCCCCCGGGGCTTGCACAGGCTCACTCGCACTCTCTCAAATTAAAAAAGAGGTTTACCAACATAGACCAAACTTTAGCCATGAAACCTCACCAAATTTAAAATAACTGAAATCATACAGAGTATATTCTGACTATAATAAATTCAACCTAAAAATTAAAAGCAAAAATAAGGAACTCTAACTAGTTGGATATTAACTCTCTTAAATAATCTGTGGGTCAAAGTTAAAGTCTCAAGGGGGAATTTTAAATATATGCATATATATGTTTATGTATCTGAAAGGACATGTAAGCATAGCTATCAAAATATGTGAGACAAAGTATTAAAGCATTGTGTGGAGAAGAATTTATACCACTAAGTACTTTCTTTTTCTTTCTTTCTTTCTTTCCTTCTTTCTTTCTTTCTTTCTTTCTTTTTTTTTTTTTAGAAATGAGAAAAGGTGTCAATTCTATAATCAACTTTCCACTTCAAGAAACTAAAAAAGAAAAAAAAAAAGCATAATTAACCCCAAACCAGCTAAAGGAAGGAAATAATAAGGTAAGAAATTAATGAATTTGGGGTGTCTGGATGGCTCACTCGGTTAAGCATCAGCCTTCAGCTTAGGTCATGATCTTGGGGTCCCAGGATCTCATGCCCCTCCTGCTTGTGCTTTATCTGTCAAACGAACAAATAAATAAATAAAATAAGAAGAAAAAACATATGAAAAAGCAAAGGCCCTAGAATAGCTGAAACAATCTTGAAAACTGAATTGGTAGAATCATTCTATCTCTTATTAATGTCTACTATATATTTAGAATAATCAAGACAGTGTTAGCTGGTAGAGGGATAGACACATACTTATCAGTATGACAAAATCAAGAACTGAGAAATAGACACAGTTATGCCCACCTGATTTTGACAAATGCAGAAAAACAGTTGAGTAGGGAAGGAGCCTTTTCAACAGTGGTTCTTGAGCAACCGGACATCCATAGGGGGGAAAAAGACTCTTGACCTGAGTTTCACACCTTGTATAAAAATGAACGGAAAACAAACTCTAGACTTCAGTGTAAAATGTAAAACTTAAAACTATAAAACTTCTAGAAGAAAACAGGAGAAAATCCTCAGAATCTTGGGGTAGACAAGGAGTTCATATACTTTTTTTTTTTTTAAGTTTTTTATTTTTTTGACAGATAGAGAGCACAAGTAGGCAGAGCATTAGGCATAGGGAGAGGGAGAAGCAGGCTCTCCACTGAGCCGGAGCCTGATGTGGGGCTCAATCCTAGGACCCTGGGATCATGACCTGAGCCTGAGGCAGCTACTCAACTGACCAAACCACCCAGGGGCCCCAGGAGTTCATATACTTCAAAAGCATGATCTGTAAAAGGAAAAATTGATTAATTAAACCTCATGAAAACTAAAAACTCTTATTCTGCTAAAGACTGGTAAGAGCATGTAAGGAGAAGCTACAGAGTGGCAAGAATTTATTTGTGAACTGTGAATCTTCCATGCAAATACTGGTATTATTTAGTTACAAATACATTAAAAATCTAGAAACCAAATAGTAAAAAACCAGCCTGTCAATCCAATTAGAACATGGACAAAAGACATGAAGGGATATTTTAAGGAAGAAGATAAGCAGATGGCACATTAGAAAAGGAAGAGCTGTTCAACATCACTAGCCACTTTTATTTATTTATTTATTTATTTATTTATTTATTTTTAAAAGATTTTATTTATTTATTTGACAGAGAGAGGGAACACAAGTAGGCAGAGAGACAGACAGAGAGAGAGGGAAGCAGGCTCCCTGCTGAGCAGAGAGCCCGATGTGGGGCTTGATCCCAGGACCCTGGGATCATGACCTGAGCTGAAGGCAGAGGCTTTAACCCACTGAGCCACCCAGGTGTCCCCATTAGCCATTTTTAAAATGAAGATGAAAACATGAGGAAATAGATTAAAATAATAAAATGAAAAATAGTGGTAACATCAAGTATTGAATGCAGAGAATCTGGATTACTCATGTTTTTGATGGGAATGTACAATGATGTAGCTATTCTGGAAAAGTTTAGCGGTTTCTTATTATATTAAACATGCAACTACTGTATAATCCAGCAGTTACACCCTTGAGTATAAAAAATAAATCCCAGAGAAATGAAAATTTATGTTCACATACAAACCTGTGTATGAATGTTCATAGCATCTTATTCATAATAGTGATAATGTAGAAATTCCAAGATGGGGGCGCCTGGGTGGCTCAGTGGGTTAAGCCACTGCCTTCGGCTCAGGTCATGATCTCAGGGTCCTGGGATCGAGCCCCACACTGGGCTCTCTGCTCAGCGGGGAGCCTGCTTCCTCCTCTCTCTCTGCCTGCCTCTGCCTGCTTGTGATCTCTCTCTGTCAAATAAATAAATAAAAAATCTAAAAAAAAAAATTTCCAAGATGTCTTTTATTTTTAATTTTTTAAAAAATTCTTTCAGTTTTTAGATTTTATATTTTTAAGAGAGAACAAGTGTGAGTGGGGTTAGGGGAGGGGCAGGGGGGTAGGGAGAAGCAGACTCCCCGCTAAGCAGGGAGCCAGAGGATGCAAGGGTGGATCCCAGAACCCTGGGATCATTACCTGAGCTGAAGGCAGATGCTTAACCACCTAAGCCACCCAGGCACCCCCTTCCAGATGTCTTTTAATGGTTGGATGACTTAAAGAAATTGTGGTATGTTCATTGCAAGTTGCTAATTGAAGTTTTTTTTTTTTTCCCAAGATGCATTTAGTCACTTAAGAAAGACGCAGCAGGAGGAGGGGTAGAAGGAGTGACTCTCCAAGCAGACTCCCTGCCAAGCATGGAACTGGCTCAATCCCACAACTCATGAGATCACAACCTGAATGGAAACCAAGAGTGGGATGCCTAACCGACAGTCATCCAGGCGCCCCAAATTAACATTTGTTAAGTAAAACTCTTGGGATGTTTGATGGTGAGCCCAGGTGCTATAAGAGGCCACAAGGAAAATTGGAAATAGAGAGTTCATTACTCACAGGTCCTTGGAGGTAAGTACACCACACATCTTGAGGAGCCACATGAAGAAGTCAAGAAGGTGCAGGTAGATAGCAGGTCAGGACCTGGGGCACATACCTTTGTTAGGGTTTGTAGGTGGTGCTTTGGGATTTCTGGGCTAAGACTGGATTGGTCAATTCAAGCCTAGAAATACAAGGTTTTGTTAAGCTTTTCAGGGGTCTAATACAAGGGTTGCACAAGGGAAAAGCCCTGGGAGGCAAGGGAGACTTTATCACAGCGCCATTGGGGAAGTTTTATCAGGACTAACGTAGTTGTGACTGTGTAGGTTGTTATCTAGGGCATGTGTTTGCATGAAGAGCAAATGTCAGTTTAAGGCCCCTTCAGGCCTGTTAGCCAAACAAAATGGATGCTGAGGCAGCAACATAGAGAAGCTTAGCTAAATTTTTGATATGTGTAATCACTTAGGAATAAAAAAGAATGAAGTTGATACAACAACTTGGGTGACTCTCCAGAGAATTATGCCAGGTGAAAAAATCCAATTGTAGAAGGTATTATTTATATAGTATTCTGAAAATGACAGAATCATAGAAATGGAAAATAGAGTAGTGGTTATTAAGTTTCAGGGATGGGGTTGGGTTCAGAAGGGTGATGAGTTGTAAGATCACATGAAATATCTTTGTGTTAAAGAAAGTGCTCTGGGGGCACCTGGGTGGCTCAGTCAGTTAAGCCTCTGCCTTCGCTCAGATCATGATCCCTGGATCCAATCCCTGAGTCAGGATCCCTGCTCAGCAAGGAGTCTGTTATAACCTTCTCCTTCTGTCCCCTGCCCCCCACCCTCGCTCATGTACTCTCTTGCCCATTCACTCTCTCAAATAAATAAAATTAAAAAAAAAGTGTCTGCATCTTGACTATCAGTAAAAGTATCCTGGTGGTGGTGGTATTGTAGTTTGGTTTTGTAAGCTGTTGCTGTTGGAGTAATGTGGGTAGACAGTAAAAGGGTTATCTTTGTATTATTTCTAAGAACTGCATATGAATGTACATTTATCTTAAAATTACAGGTTTAATTATAAAAGACTCTGGTCTTGAATTACTGATTTATCAAACCTTTATAGATTTCAAGTTATCTGGACAAGGTTTCATTTTATATTTTTTTAACTTTTTTTAAAAGAAAACTTTTTTTTTTTAAGATTTTATTTGTCAGAGAGAGAGAGCATGCGAATGAACACAAGCATGGAGAGCGGCAGGCAGAGGGAGAAGTAGGCTCCCCACTGAACAAGGAGCCCAATACAGAACTTGATCCCAGGACCCTGGCATCATGACCTGAGCCAAAGGCCAACCCTTAACTGACTGAGCCACCCGGGCATCCCAAGGCTTCATTTTCAGTGCAAGTATAGAATCATCTTAATGTCTGAAAGTCAACTGTTTAGCCAGTTAATGTGTTTTGAACACAGCTCAAAAGTAGAATAAAAAGCATTTTGAGTAAAAGAGGTACAGCAGTGTCTGCACTAGAGCTCATATTGAATTCATTTCAGTGAATCTTTCACCTGGAACCTTGATATATAATTCTAATAAATCTGGTTTCCAGGTCCATGACAGATTTTGAAAGTAGGAGAGGAGTGATAGCATGAATACATTGATTGTTACTATAAGTGCAGCTCATAGCCTGACTGCAGGTAAGGAGGCAAATATATATAAAATAGTTTGGGACAATTTATTGTAGAGGGCGTCTAGGAAAGGTTAAGTTGTAGTTACATCTTCTGTTTTGTTAGTCGGAAAAGTATGTTACACATTTTAGGATTCTCTTCTAAAGTTAAAAAAAAAGTTTGCATATGGTGTAAACCCTCAGCTAATTGAGAAAACTCACCTATTCAGAAGACACAGCTTTAGTAGTTCCTGGAAGGAGTGAGAAACCCTTATTGATTCGGAAATGAAGCATAGTGTTTGTTTTTTTATCCCTTGTTTTCGACAAAACAGATGAAATAATAGTGAAATTGTCATTGCTTAGACTGGTGTAGGTGTCAGTAGTACTGTTGGGAAAGGGCAGTAAGCCATAATAGAGGAGTTGGCACATCTAGGGGGACATAACACCTGAGGTGGTGGCCAACAGTATAATACAATTTTCAGTGTGTGGGCTTTCCGAGGGAACTGCAGAGTGGAAGATACTTTCAGGGTAGTACTAAGTTGTTACTTTGCTTTTACCGTGTTGATATCTGCACTGATGGTGTCAAAGCAGTGGAAAATAAATCTGCTTCTGCCTGAGTACAGAGGTACCAAATTGTACCAGTGGTCATTGTATTCTTCACCATGCACTTGTACTAAAAACAAAGGGGAAAAAAAAGTCAATTTTTCTTAAAAAATGTTTTTGCGCAAAAATGTTACTAAATTATATTAAATATAGACCCATGAGTACATGTCTTAATATTGTGTGATAAAAAGGAGAGTAAGCATGAATCACTTCTGGAAACTGAGTTATGGTGATTGCCTTGGAAAATCACCTGTAGCATCATAGAAAACTGTTATTCAATTTTTTCAATTAAAACAGTTTACTTAGAAGAATAACTGTTAGAGAAACTATGGTTTTTTATATTTGACTTTTAGGCATATTTTTTTTTTTTAAGTAAATAAGTGAGCTGCTCCTTTCAAGGAAAACAATTACAGTATTTGTTACCCATTTAAAATTTTGGATTTCAAACAAAATTTAGAATTTTTGTGAACTTATGTCCATCTGTGTGAGCTTTATAGTTTCACCAATACTTACAGTTAAGATTTTTGTGATGAGATTTATTTATTTATTTAAAGATTTTATTTATTTATTTGACAGAGAGAGATCACAAGTAGGCAAAGAGGCAGGCAGAGAGAGAGGAGGAAGCAGGCTCCCCACTGAGCAGAGAGCCCAATGTGGGACTCTATCCCAGGACCCTGAGATCACGACCAGAGCCAAAGGCAGAGAGGATCAACCCACTGAGCCACCCAGGTGCCCAACATGAGATTTAAAAAAAAAAAAAAAAAAAAAGATATTTATTTGACAGAGATCACAAGTAGGCAGAGAGAGGGGAAGCAGGCTCCCCACTATGCAGAGAGTCCAATGTGGGGCTTGATCCCAGGACCCCCGGCATCATGACCTGAGCCGAAGGCAGAGGCTTAACCCACCGAGCCACCCAGGCACCGCTACATGAGATACTTTAATGAATGTGATTTTTAAAATATCATCTAATGAAATGTGCAACATTTTGAGGATCTGCATGACTCAGTAAACCAATATTTTCCAAATGACCCTTGTAGGGTGTTCCACAATCATGCATGGGTTAAATACTCATTGAAAGGGCAAGACCAGTGGATTTTAAAATAACAAAATATAAGTTATGTTTTTAGATTCTTACGTTTCAGCTGATCTTTGAGAAACTATCACTTGTTGAGTTTTGGTCTAGTACCGTTGGAGAATATTCATAATTATCTGAAAGGATATTAATATATTTCTTTTTCAACTTCATGTCAGTAGGACTTTCTTTATCTGTTTCCACCCAAGCAAAACATTTCATAATAGCTCGAATGGAGAAGCAGATAATGAGGTTCCAGCTGTCTTCTATTAAACCAAGCATTACTGAGAATTGCAAACATATATAAATATATGTAAGACAATGCTATTCATTGCTAGGGTTATTTGGTTTTGAAAGTACAGTCATTTTGCACAAAAATTCATTATGTAAAATTTGTTATGTATATGATGTATTAGAGTTAGGGTTAGAATTATAAGTAACATTAGCCATTTAAGTTAATTGATTAAGTTAATCATTAAATTGATGATTAAATAGGCATTTTAAGTATTTAAAAGGCTTTTTAGTTTACTTGTAAATGAATCAACTAAAGCTCTTTGTTTTCTCAGTAGTTTTAAGAGTATAAACTCTTCTAAAAGCTTTAAAACCACTGGTCTGAAGTTCATGTTTGAGCATAGGGGACATGGCAAATATATGTCTGATCTGGCTCGACGTTCAGGGAGATGGGATCCAAATTGGTAGGTAGAGCATTTCAGCAGATACTTCTAGGTAGTTATGTTACTCAGGCAGACCGATTGTCGTCCCCCGATGGTTGATTTAGATTGGTGCAGGACCCAAAACAAAAGTTTTGAGGTAAGGTGGGGGGCGGTGCCTGGGTAGCTCAGTCGTTAAACGTCTTTCTGCCTTCAGCTGAGTTCATGATCCCAGGGTCCTGGGATCGAGCTCCACATTGGGCTCCCTGCTCTGTGGGGATCCTGCTTCTCCCTCTCCCAGTCCCTCTGCTTGTGTTCCCTCTCTCACTGTGTCTCTCTCTGTCAAATAAATAAACAAAATCTTAAAAATCCTTTAAAAAAAAAAAGATCGAGGTACAGAGCAAGACTCCTAATAGGAATGAAGGCTAGTCATATAGACTGAGAATAGGAGGTTCGAGGAAAGCTCCAGTTTGGTGAAAGCATAGGTGATCAGGGCCCACCTTTGTCATACTACATACCAGGTTTTTGTAGTGGAGTAGTTTCAGTCTTCCTAACTGGTAGAGAATGGAGCTCCAGAATTACTCCTGTGGTGAATGCCCAGCCTCAGAGAGTCCAGCTGATTGAGTTGCAGTTTTACACTAGGTAGCTACTTAGTTGTTTGTTTAAGTAATATTTGGATGTAGAGAATAAGCTGTTCCTTCATATTTGGAAGTCTCCGCATTCCCATCTTGTGCTTCCTTGAAGTGATTCTAAACTTTATGTAAAATGCAGCTTATAGGTTAACTAAACAATAGTTTAATGTTACCAGAGAACTAATGGCACATGCTCAAGATGTAGATGTACTTCTTTTGATTTAAACTTAAAAATAAAAGATCTACCATATAGTAGAGTTATATAGCTTTATAAGGTTGTTTAAATAAAACAAAGTTGTCTGATTTCCCTCATCCCTTACTTTTCCATTCTCAGAGCAAACCAAATCATGCTGAAATTTCAGTTTTTCTATTAGTTGTATCTAAATAATATGCTAATATAACTTTTTTTTTAAATTTTTAAGTTTTAGCCATTATCTATTGACTGCCCACCCTGGATAATATTTAACTTTCCTTCATACACATACCTTTCTTACTCCCACCCTGAATTCAGCTATATTATATACATACTCAACTGCTGGTCCTTTCTATTATCTTAATGTATTTATATCAAGATTTTTACTTTCTCCCTATGTAGTATCTAGCTTTTAAATATTTAAGTTTACTGAAGTGTAATTTAAATAATATAAAATTCACTCTCCTTAGTTTTATACTTCTGAGTTTTCACAGAGGGCTTCAGAGTATAACTGTCACTGTAGTCAAGATATAAAATTGTTTCATAACCTAAAAAATTTTTCTCATGCTCCTTTATAGTTAGCCCTTTCTCCTCATTCTCTGATAATTCCAGTACTGTTTGTTGACAGTTCTGTGTTTTTTCCCTTGCACTCTTTTTACATCAATCAGTGCCACAAATTAATTAACCATATACGTGTGGGTCTGTTTCTAGACACACTGTTTTGTTCCACTGATCTCTTTGTCTGTCATTTTGCTAATACTGCATAAGTTTTGAGATAAGTTTTGAAAACAGGTATTGTGAGTGCTCCAATTGTAGTTTTTTCCCCCAAAACTGTTCTGGCTCTTCTAGTTTCTTGGTTTTCCCATCACTGCCCTAAATATCCCCTGTGCTCTGCCAGTTTGTGCTTCTCTCTCCCTTAGCCTCAGACAACCACTGATCTTTTTACAGTCTTGATGATTTTGTCTTTTCCAGAATATCAGATAGTTGGAATCGCATACATTATGTAGTCTTTTCACATTGACTTCGTTCACTTAGTAATACACATCTATGGTTCCTGCTTGTCTTTTCATGGCTCGATAGCTCATTTCTTTTTGAGCCCTGAATATTCCGTTATCTCAGTGTACCAGTTTACTCATTCATTTATAGAGGGATGTCTTGATTGTGTCCAAGTTTTGGCAGTTAATGAATAAAGCTGCTGGAAACATCTGTGTGCACGTTTTTGTGTGGATGTAAGTGTTCCGCTCCTTTAGGTAAATACCAAGAGGTGTGATTATTGAATTGTATTATAAGAGTATGTTTAATCTTTTAAGAAGCTAACAAACTGTCTTACAAAGTGGCTGTACCATTCCTTTTGCTCCATAACCTCTTTAGTATTTGTTCTTAGAGTTCCAGATTTTGATCATTGTAATAGGTATATAGTGGTATCTCCTTGTTATTTTAGTTTGCATTTCCCTGATGATATGTTGTGGGGAGCATCTTACATAATTATTTATCATCTATGTATCTTTGGTCAGGTGTGTTTGTTCAAGTGTTTTGCTGATTTTTTAGTTGGGTTTTCTTGTCGAGTTTTAAGGGTGTTTGTATATTTTGGATAAGTCTTATTTATTTATTTATTTAGTTAGTTAGTTAGTTAGTTATGGGAGGAAGGGCACAGAGGGACAGTGAGAGGGAGAAGCAGACTGCCTGCTGAGCAGAGAGCCCGACATGGGACTCAGTCCCAGGACCCAGAGATAGTGACCTGAGCTAAAGGCAGGCGCTCAACGGATTGAGCTGCCCAGGTGCCCTTGGATAATAGTCTTTTATGAGATAATGCCTTTTACAAATATTTTCTTTTAGTCTGTGCCCTTTTTTCCCCCCATCTTTTGCAGAGCATTAGTTTTGAATTTTAATGAAGTCCAGCTTATCAAAAATTTTTTTCATAGATCTTGGTATATCTAGAAAGTCTTCACCATATCCAAATTCATCTAGATTTTTCTGTGTTTCTTTCTAGGAGTGTCATAGTTTTGCATTCTATATTTAGGTCTGTGACCCATTTTGAGTTAATTTCATATGTGGATATCCAGTTATTCAGTCCCCATTTATGGGTGACACTGTTTTCTACTGAATGACCTTTGCTGTTTTGTCAGAGATCAGTTGACTGTGTCTCTGTGAGTCTCTGGGCTTGGGCTTTCTGTTCTGTTCATCTATTTGTCTATTCCTTCTGCAGTATCACAGTGTCTTGATTACTGTAGCTTTATAGCAGGTCTTAAAGTCAGACAGTGTCAGTCCTACAACATTGTTATTCTTCAGTATTGCATTAGTAATATTGGATCTTTCACTTCTCCATATAAACTCTAGAATCAGTTTGTTGATCATATGTAGAATAATTTGCTAGGATTTTGATTGGGATTACATTAAGTATGTTGAAACAAATTGGGAAGAATTGACATCTTGACAATACAGATGGTCCCCAATTTATAATGGTTCAACTTAGATTTTTCAACTT